CTGAGTCAAGCCCATGAACCCATTCCTCAGCTGGCACTACTGAGGACAAGGAGCAATCGAACCTGCGGGCAAGAGATCTACCTCTTCGGCGGCTTTTTTCCAGTTCATGCGCAAGACGACAACCAAAAAAGACGCCGCTTGCAGAGAGATGCAAACGATCAAACCGGTCCACAGGCCTGCAGGGAGAGCGAGAGGTTGATTCTAGGGCTGTGTTTCTCAACCTCTGAAGCTTTAAAACGGGTGAACTTCAACTCCCAGAATTCCCCAGCCAGCGTGGCTGGCTAAGGAATTCTGGGAGTTGAAGTCCGCCCATTGTAAAGTTGCCAAAGCAGAGAAATGTTGCTCTACAGTTTAAGGCTGTGTAGAATAGCCTCCTCCCATTTGCCCCCATAACAGCCCTACGAGGTAGGTTGGACCATAGTCGCTCTAGGAACTACTAAGCTGGGGAAGGCATGCTGACTGGGGAATTCTGGGAGTGAAACTCCACTCCTTTTAAAGCATGCTGGTTGGGGAATTCTGGGAGTTGAAGTCCGCCCATCTCTAAATCATGCTGGCTGGGGAATTCTGGGAGTGGAAGTCCACCCCTCTTAAAGCAGGCTGGCTGGGGACTTCTGGGACTTGAAGTCCACCCATCTTAAAGCAATCTGGCTGGGGAATTCTGGGAGTGGAAGTCCACCCATCTTAAAGCATGCTAGCTGTGGAATTCTGGGACTTGAAGTCCGCCCATCTTAAAACATGCTGGTTGAGGAATTCTGAGAGTCAAAGTCCATCCAACGTAAAGCATGCTGGCTAGAGAATTCTGGGACTTGAAGTCCACCCATCTTAAAAACTGCTGAGGTTGAGAAACATTGTTTTAGGTAGTGAGTTTGGCCCTGGAACTCACTGCCACCAGATGGGGAGGGACCAATTGTGACCTTCCTAAAGGGATCTTTCAGATTCTGTTCTATTCTATTCTATTCTATTCTATCTCAATCACTGCATGAGGCACATCTGGCTGGCCTTCCTGACAGTCCCACAAACCAAGCCGAACATCTGGAGCGCAGCTTGCAAAGAGAAATGGCACCTGCTGGCCGGCTCACCCATTACGCCAAGCTTGTACACGAACATCAGCGTAATCCCGATGGGCAATCCGATGACGTAGTAGCCCACCGCGTTGGCGATGGCGCCAATTTTCTGCTTGCCGGCGCCCCTCAGCACCCCTCCGCAAGTGGCCTGGCGAACAGAGGCAGAGACATTAGGGAAGTTCCCTAAGAGAGTCTCCTGAAAGGGTCTATTGGATCCTGAGACGAGGATGGATTAAAAACCCCACTCGGCTGGCCTACCTCACAAGGTTATTGTCCTGACAACAGGCACATTCTGTCAAGCTGCTTCAAGGTAGCCCAGGGAATGTGATTGGCCAAAGGACACAATTCCATTTTGAAAAATGGATATGGGTTCAAACCATCCACCTGTAGGGGAGACTCTCCTGGTGTGTCTCTGGATGATGCCCTGTTCTGGCTTCCCAACTAGTATAGGTAGTCCTTGACTTACAACAGTTCATTTAGCGACCGTTCAAAGTGTGTCTCTGGATGATGCCCTGTTCCGGCTTCCCAACTAGTACAGGTAGTCCTTCACTTACAACAGTTCATTTAGTGACCATTCAAAGTGTGTCTCTGGATGATGCCCTGTTCCGGCTTCCCAACCAGTACAGGTAGTCCTTGACTTACAACAGTTCATTTAGCGACCGTTCAAAGTGTGTCTCTGGATGATGCCCTGTTCCGGCTTCCCAACTAGTACAGGTAGTCCTTGACTTACAACAGTTCATTTAGCGACCGTTCAAAGTGTGTCTCTGGATGATGCCCTGTTCCGGCTTCCCAACTAGTACAGGTAGTCCTTGACTTACAACAGTTCATTTAGTGACCGTTCAAAGTGTGTCTCTGGATGATGCCCTGTTCCGGCTTCCCAGCTAGTATAGCTTGTCCTTGACTTACAACAGTTCATTTAGTGACTGAAGTTACAACAGTACTGAAAAAAATGACTTCTGACCAATTTTCACACTTACGACCGTTGCAGCATCCCTGTGGTCACGTGATCAAAATTCAGATCCTTGGCCACTGACTCATAGTTATGACGGTTGCAGAATCCCGGGGTCCTGTGATCCCCTTTTACGACCTTCTGACAAGCAAAGTCAATGAGGGAAGCCAGATTCACTTAACGACCGTGTGACTAACCGAACAACTGCAGCGATTCACTTAACAACTGTGGCAAGGAAGGTCGTAAAACGGGGCAGAGCCCAGTGAACAACTGTCTCGCTTAGCAACAGGAAGTCTGGGCTCAGTTGTGGTCGTAAGTCGAGGACTACCTGTACCCCAAAGGTCAATGGGGGAAGCCGGATTCATTTAACAACCAGGTTACTAACTTAACAGCTGCGGTGATCCACTTAGCAACTCTGGCAATAAAAGTCATAAAATGGGGGAAAAACTCATTTAACAACCGTCTCGTTTAGCAACATAAATTTTGGGCTCAGTTGCGCACTACCTACATGGGTTCAGAACTATCCACCTGCAGGAGCGATTCTCCTGGTGTGTCTCTGGATGATGCCCTGTTCTGGCTTCCCAATTAACATTCACCGATCCTGTCTTAGGGGGAACTAGATATTGGAAGGCTGCTATCATGTCCCCCCTCGTCCTTCTTTTCATTAAACTACAGTAGTGGCCAAAATTGTAGAAACCTTTTGGGAACAGTGTACAGTAGAAATGCCACCTTTGGTTAAGTTTCCACCCATTTTCCTTCCAATTTCTTTATAACTGTAGCCTTGTTCGCTTAATAATACTATTTTACATCGCTTTCTGGGCAACCAGTCAACTCTTTGCACCATGACTTTAATTTTATTACGTTTTACAAGCTCACTCAATGAAAGAACACAGAAAAACCCCAACCAACTGGATAGCGATCACATAACACACTGACAAATGTCCTCCTCTCAGCTTCAATACAGGACATCAATAACTGGATCCTACCGTGATCTGATTGGCTCATGGCCAAAACAAGAGGACACCCGATTGGCTCTCTAAACACTCGTGCTCATTGGCTACAATCAGATGAAGGAAAGCTACCTGAGATCAACCTAAGCAAGTTGTGCTTCCTTTTTCTGGTTATTTGGCTCTAACTTTTCATAGAATACAGCACAGATAGTTGAACAAACTTTGTTACATTACATTCTCGATTAAATGATCTTTCCATTGATATATAATTTTATGGTACTACTCCAAAAAAGGGGGGTGTTATTAGCCATCAAACCTCAAAAATTTTTCCCAAAAGGTTTTCACAATTTTGGCCACTACTATAGACATACCCAATTCCAGCAACCGTTCTTTATATGGAGGCTTAAACATATAAGGAACGGTTGCTGGAATTGAGTATGTTTAGTTCAATGAAGAGAAGGACGAGGGGGGACATGATAGCAGTCTTCCAATATTTGGGGGCCCATCGCAAAGAAGAGGGGGGTCAACCCATTCTCCAAAGCACTTGAAGGCCGGACAAGAAGCAACGGATGGAAACTCATCAAGGAGAGAAGCAACCTGGAATTAAGGAGAAACTTTCTGACAGTCAGGACAATTAACCAGTGGAACTCCTTGCCTCCAGAAGTTGTAGGTACTCCATCACTGGAGGCTTTTAAGAAGAGACTGGACAGCCATTTGTCTGAAATGGTATAGGGTTTCCTGCCTAAGCAGGGGGCTGGACTAGAAGACCTCCAAGGTCCCTTCCAACTCGGTTCTTCTAATTCTAATCAGATTGCATGTCTGAATCTGCAGAGAACCCCATCGAAAGAGGAACCCTGAGCCTCACAGCTCATAAGATTGTTTTCTTCCACCCTGATATCTAAGCCAGTGGTTCTCAACCTTTTTAATGCCGCGACCCCAACCGGTCGTAAGTCGAGGACTAAACCGGTCGTAAGTCGAGGACTAAACCGGTTGTAAGTCGAGGACTAAATCGGTCGTAAGTCGAGGACTACCCAACCGGTCATAAGTCGAGGACTTTCCCTGCCCGGGAGCGCCGCGCATGCGTGGTTCCGCCCCCTGCGCCAGCCGAGGCGTAGCTGGCAAGCAGCAGAGACGGAGCAGGTCGACCACCAGCTGGCCCAGCTCAAGGGAGGTAAGGCACCCGCCGGAAAAGGGAAAAAAATGGCGGACAAAAAAATGGCGGACAGCCTTGCTTGGCGACCCCCGTGAAATGGTCGACTCCAAATGGGGTCCCGACCCACAGGTTGAGAACCACTGCTCTAAGCATACTTTCATGTTTTGCCAGTGCTAGGACTCCCCTAAGGGCCAAAGTAAAAATAAAATCAAGAATAAAAAAAAATATTTATCCAGGAACTACGATTTCCACAGGAACGGGTTCTATTTGTAGCCATGAGGACTAGCAACCTGTTCGAATAAACAGGAAATGCTTTTTACAAAATCCGTTTGGCTCCCCCTCATCACACCCCACCCAGGGGCTTTGCAACCGCCATAAACTCACTGCGGTGGCATCAAACAGGTGAAAAGGGGAAAAGATCAGCATCACTTTGGACACCAAAGACACGATCTCTCTATTGAGGGAAGAAAAAAATATATATTATTAGGAGATCTGAGTTCTAAAGTCTGCCTGGGAGAAAGCTCATTGGACGATGTACAGGTAGTCTTAGATTTACAGCCCTTCATTTAGCAGCCGTTCAAAGTTACGACAGCGCTAAAAAACCCCAAACCAACAATTTATGACCAGTCCTCGCACTTATGACCGTCGCATCATCCGCCTGATCCTGTGATCAAAATTGGGATGTTTGGCAAGTGGCCAGTATTTATACTATTGCGGCTGCCATTTTGCGACCTTCCAACAAACAAACCGAAAAGGGGAAGGTGGATTCACTTAACAACCGGGTGATTCGCTTAATGGCCTAAAAAAAACGAGGTGGCCAAAATTGGTCCATAAGGCAAAATTCTGGAATTAAGACCCTGAAGTGAATCAAGTAGCATCCATTCAATGCTGTGTTGGTTTTCTTTTAATTAAATGTATCATTAGAAGCAAATGGATGGATTTGTTCTGACGGGCTGGATTGTGTCTGTGGAGGAGACACCGCTGTGACAACTAGCATCCTCTGTGTGTGTCTGTGTGTGTGTGTGTGTGTGTACACGGCCATCACAAGTTGCAAGATGCTTCGTAAGTAGCTTTTGGAGCCTCCGTCATAACTCAAGAATGGTCGTTAAGTCGGGGACTACCTGTACAGGCAGAGGGGCAACGGGCAGACTCCCATTCATTCATCCCCCTCTTGGGGAATCTTGAGAAGAGAGATAATGAGAAGAGGGCCTTACAGGTCGTTGGTGAAGATGTAGGCCACCACGTCCTTCACAGCTGCCAGCAGCCCAGCGAAAACCACCGCAAGGACCCCTGGGAAGGGAGAGAGAAGGTGGGTCCCATGCCGGGGAGGGGGGGGCAAATGTTTCATCTCTGTTCGGGGGGGGACATCTTCAGTGCGGTTGTATACTGTTTATCCATTCATCTCTATCTATCTATCTATCTATCTACCTATCCATCCGTCCATCCCTATCCATCCATCCATCCATCTATAGGTAGGTAGGTAGGTAGGTAGGTGGATGGATGGATGGATGGATAAATGATATAGATGAATGGATAGATAGATAGATAGATAGATAGATAGATAGATAGATAGATAGATAGATAGATAGATAGATAGACAGACAGACAGACAGACAGACAGACAGACAGACAGACAGACAGACAGACAAGATGATGGATAGATAGATGAATGGATGGATAGATGATAAATAGATGAGTGGATAGATAGATAGATAGATAGATAGATAGATAGATAGATAGATAGATAGACGGATAGATAGAAGGATGGATGGATGGATGGATAAATGATATAGATAAATGGATAGATAAGATAGATAGATAGAAAGAAAGAGAGAGAGAGAGAGAGAGAGAAAGAAAGAAAGAAAGAAAAAGAAAGAAAGAAAGAAAGAAAGAAAGAAAGAAAGAAAGAAAGAAAGAAAGATGGATGGATAAATGATATAGATGAATGGATAGATATAGAAAGATAGATGATAGAGATAGATAGACGAGATAGATAGATAGATAGATAGATAGATAGATAGATAGATAGATAGATAGATATAGATATGGATGGATATATGATAAATAGATGAATGGATTGATAGATAGATGATAGATGATGATAGATGTGCATGATAGACAGACAGACAAATATCTGTCTATCAAATCTATCTATATTGAACTATCCCTCCCTCCCTCCCTCCTTCTATCCCTTTATCCATCCATCCATCTCTATCAGAGGGATCCAGATGGATTATGAGGCTCTTCTAAACTAGCAGGGTCTTTGAGGTCTTCTAGTCTAACCCCTTTGCTCAGGGCAAGCGCCCACCAAAGCTGTGCCCCTTAACCTTAGCCACTTTAAGATAGGTTAATTTCAACTCCCAGCATTCCCCAGCGGGCATGAATTGGAACTTCTCCACCCTCCTCCAGAGCTTAAAGGGTCATATATACTCACCGGTGCAAAGGAGGGCCATAATGCATGACCTCTTGGCCTGGTCCACATCTCCGGCGCCTAAGGCGTTACCCACGCGGACGCTGGAAGCCACACTCATCCCCTGTGGCAGCTGAGAAGAAGCTTCTGTGAGTGGTTTTTCACTAGTTTGGAGAATATTTTTTTTTGTGCAGAGTCAATCAGGGTTAACCTCTAACCCAGTGGTTCTCAACCTTTTTAATGCCGCGACCCCAACCGGTCGTAAGTCGAGGACTAAACCGGTCATAAGTCGAGGACTAAACCGGTCATAAGTCGAGGACTACCCAACCGGTCGTAAATCGAGGACTTTCCCTGCCCGGGAGCGCTGCGCATGCGTGGTTCCGCCCCCTGCGCCGGCCGAGGCGTAGCTGGCAAGCGGCAGAGACAGAGCAGGCCGACCACCAGCTGGCCCAGCCCAAGGGAGGTAAGGCACCCGCCGGAAAAGGGGAAAAAATGGTGGACAAAAAAAATGGCGGACAAAAAAAATGGCGGACAGCCTTGCTTGGCGACCCCCGTGAAATGGTCGATCGACCCCAAATGGGGTCCCGACCCACAGGTTGAGAACCACTGGTCTAACCCAACAAAAGGCATACAAGCAGTCCTTGACTTACAACCGTTCATTTAGTGAGCGTTCAAAGTTACAACGGTGCTGAAAAAAGTGACATATGCTCGTTTTTCACACTTACGGGCATTGCAGCATCCCCATGATCACGTGACTTATACTCGGGACGCTTGGCAACCGGTTCATATTTATAACGGTTGCTGTGTCTCAGGGAGGGTCATGTGATCCTCTTTTGCGACCTTCTGAGAAGCCAAGTCAATGGGGAAGCCAGATTCACTTAACAACTGTGGCAAGAAAGGTCACAAAATGGGGCAAAACTCACTTAAAAACTGTCTCGCTTAGCAATAGAAGTTTTGGACTCCGTTGTGGTTCTAAGGCCAGGACTACCATATCTCCACCAGCATCAAATGGTTAAGCTGAGCGCATCAATCTATAACTTCTAATCCCTAGTACAGTGCTGGCGAACCTTTTAGAGACCGAGTGCCCAAAAACTGGCCCCAGCCCCGCTCCACCCCCTGCCCCGCCCCACCCCACCCTGCCTGCCTGCAGGGCCACTCATCGCCTCCAGGCCTGCCGCAGATCGCCCAGCCTACCCAGCAGTGCCATGGCGGCCACGTCCTCTGCCTGCGCCCCGCAGCATCAATTGTGTGTGATGGGGTGTGAGGGCAGAGTCTTGTCTATGCTACCTGGCTGCCATGTCCTTGGCTGCGCTGCTCCGCGTGGGCCACGCTCGGGGTGACTCTCCTCCAGGGGGGGCTGCTGGCGAGGAGGGGGTTGCGGGTGGAGGCAAGGCTGGGGCAACGGCACGTGTGCCCACAGAGAGGGCTCCGAGTGCCACCTCTGGCACCCGTGCCATAGGTTCGCCAACACTGCCCTAGCATGTGGTCTACACACAGAGTAATCTTGTTACTCACTTAACATCTGCAGTGATTCCCTAAACAACCGCAGCAAGAAAGGTCATAAAATGGGGCAAAACTCACTTAACAAATGTCTCACTTAGCAACAGAAATGTTGGGCTCAATTGTGGTTGTAAGTCGAGGACTACCTGTATAAACGGCCATGCTTCTTGCTTCTCACACTCTGCTATTGGTGTTAATTCTTTCTCAGAATTTGGCAAATTCTTACCAGATACGCGATGGTCGACAGTTCGTAGATGATGGATTGAGCCCCTAATTCAACCGTACTCATTAATCCTTAGAGGAGAGAAACATGGTTGAGAGCCAGAAGCATTACACAAAACAAGCAGCATATAAATTTAATGGCAATAACAATCATACATCTGTGAGAAATACAGGTAGTCCTCAACTTATGACCACAAATGGGCCCAAAATTTCCATTGCTAAGCAAGACAGTAGTTTTGAGTTTTGCCTGATTTGGCGGACATTCTTGTTGCGGTTGTTTAGTGAATCACTGCAGATGTTAAGTGAGTAACATGGTTGTTAAGTGGATCCGGCTTCCCCGTTGACTTTGCTTGTCAGAAGGTCACAAAAGGGGATCGCGTGGCCCCCAGGACACGGCAACCATCATAAATATGAACTAGTTACCAAGCATCTGAATGTAAATCCTGTGACCATGGGGATGCTGCAATGGCCGTAAGTGTAAAAAATGGTCATTGTCAGAAAGTTGCAACAGGGGATCATGTGACCCTGAGACACTGCAACCGTCATAAATAGAAACCAGTTGCCAAGCATCCAAATTTTGATCACACGACCATGCGAATGCTGCAGCATTGTGAAAAAAGTTGGTAAGTCCCCTTTTCAGTGCCGTAACTTTGAACGGTCACTAAATGAGTGGTTGTAAGTGGAGGACCAACTGCTCCATTTGCCTGCAACAAAGTCATAGAAAATGAAGAAATAGAATAGAATAGAATAGAATAGAATAGAAAATAGAACAGAAAATAGAATGGAATAGAATAGAATAGAATAGAATAGAATAGAATAGAATAGAATAGAATAGAATAGAATAGAATAGAATAGAATAGAATATAGAATAGAAAATAGAATAAAATGGAATGGAATGGAATAAAATGGAATGGAATGGAATGGAATAGAATAGAATAGAATAGAATAGAATAGAATAGAATAGAATAGAATAGAATAGAATAGAATGGAATGGAATGGAATGGAATGGAATGGAATAGAATGGAATGGAATGGAATGGAATGGAATGGAATAGAAAATAGAATGGAATAGAATAGAATAGAATAGAATATAGAATAGAATAAAATGGAATGGAATGGAATAAAATAGAATGGAATGGAATGGAATGGAATGGAATAGAGTAGAGTAGAGTAGAGTAGAGTGGAGTGGAATGGAGTGGAGTAGAGTAGAGTAGAGTAGAGTAGAGTAGAGTAGAGTAGAGTAGAGTAGAGTAGAGTAGAGTAGAATATAGAATAACAAAGTTGGAAGGGATTTTAGAGGTCTTCTAGTCCAACCCCCTACTCAGGCAGGAAACCCTATAACTGAAGTGCTCTGGGATTTTAGAATTCAAACAGATAGGCAGCTGCTACACACACACACCCCAGGCTTAACAACTGTTGATAAGAAAGTCCAAAAAATCCAGATAGTGGATGTGGCAGCACTGGGAGACAGCAGATCAGAAGAGAAAGAAGTGGAGAGGATCACAAAATGAAAATAGAACGACCGTGGCAAAAGAAAGTAAAGGTAGTGGTCAATATATTCAATAACATATTCAATATATGATAGGCCTCTTGGCTGCCATCCCAAAACATCTGCAGCACCACTCGAACCCCATCGGCATTGAAAAAAATTCACCATCGGTCAATTGCAAAAGGCAGCTTTCCTCGGAACGGCTGACATCCCGCGACGAAAGCTTTAAATATTATTCGACACCCACATCCGTCTATCCCAGGTTCTTGGGAAGGAACTTGACCAGTAGACAGAAACCTGCCAAATGCGGTCTAAACATCTGGCTGACTGTGGGACCGACCATTTGCGTCATCACGAAAAGTGAAAGTGAAAGTGAAAACCTTTGGATCCGCAACTGCGTCACCAACAGGAACCAGACAATCCGAAGGAGTGCCATGTTGTCAGGGCCGATGCAGAGCAATTTGGGGGGGTCAGTTGCTGTCATTAAGTGGAGGAGTACTTATACGGCAATCCTTGACTTACAGTGGTTCATTTAGTGACCGTTCAAGGTTACGACGGCACTGGAAAAAGGGACTTGTGACCGTTTTTCACACTTAACGACCGTTGCAGCGTCCCTACGGTCACGTGATCAAAATTCAGACGCTTGGCAACTGACTCGTATTTATGACGGTCGCAGCGTCCCGGGGGGGGGTCACGTGATCCGCTTTTGCGACCTTCTGAGAAGCAAAGTCAGTGGGGAAGCCAGATTCACTTAACAACCATGTGACTTAACTCAAGAATTGCAGCGATTCACTTGTGGCGAGAAAGGTCGTAAAACGGGGCAAAACTCACCTAACAAATGTCTCGCTTAGCAACATAAATTTGGGGCTCATGTGCGGTCGTATGTCGAGGACTACCTGTATAACGCCACCGAACTGTAGAGCCACTCGCCCGGGGAGACAACGAAGAGGCCCCTGCTGGCCGAGAGAGAAAAGGGGTGGGGGGGTCTCACCTGCGAGGAAGCTGCCAATCTCAAAAGTCCACCACTCAATGCAGATCATAAACATGCTGGGCAGGGCCAACCGGACGAAGGGACCCCATTCCTGCAGACAATCCATCGTCCAGCCTGTAAAACACAAGGGCTCCCGTGTCAGGGCGAGGGCCTTGTCTGTCTGTGGCTGTTTGTCTCTGTGTTTATGTGTGCGTGTGTCTGAATAACAGACTAACAGAGTTGGAAGGGACCCTGGAGGTCTTCTAGTCCAACCCCCTGCTCAAGCAGGAGACCCTATACTATTTCAGACAAATTGTTGTCCAATTTCTTCATATAAACCTCCAGTGTTGGAGCAGTGGCTGAGTTTGTGTCTGTGTGTCTGTGTCTGTATCTGTGTGTCTATATCTGTGGATCTACAGTATGTTGCGTCTGTGTATCTGTGTGTCTATGTTGTGTGTGTCTATGTTGTGTCTGTGTGCCTATGTTGTGTCTATGCTGTGTCTGTATGTCTCTGTTGTGTGTGTGTGTGTCTATGTTGTGTCTGAATGTCTATGTTGTGTCTGTGCGTCTATATTGTGTCTGTGTGTCTATGTTGTGTTTGAGTGTCTATATTGTGTCTGTGCGTCTGTATTGTGTCTGTGTATCTGTGTGTAAGCCTATTGGGTCTGTGTGTCTATGCTGTGTCTGTGTCTGTGTGTTTATGTTGTGTCTGTGTGTCTATGTTGTGTCTGTGTATTTATGTTGCATCTGTATATGTCTGTGTCTCTGTGTCTATATTGTATTTGTGTATCTGTCTGTGTCCGTGTCTGTGTATCTATGTTGTGTTTGTGTATCTGTCTGTGCCTGTCTCTATGTGTCTATGTTGTGTCTGTGTGTCTATGTTGTGTCTGTGTATGTCTGTGTGTCTACTTGAGTGTCTGTGTTTCTGTGTGTGTGTGTGAGGGGTGTGTGTCTCTGTATGTGCTTTGTTATACAGGTTTCTTGTAGCCCAGCCAGGGGTATCTTTGGTGAGATGAGTGGCCATATAAATCAAACTAAGAGAATAAATAAATAAATGTCTGAAAACGGGCCGTTACTTCTCACGAACATAAAAGAGTGGAGAGAGGGGGGGAAAAGTGTTTCTAGCTGTGCCCATGATTCTCTCAACCCTTCCTGCCCAGGTCGCAAAAATATTCTGCTTTTCTACTACCTCCCCAGGTCTCCTTATGGATCTTTCTCCACCAGACAAAGAGGAAGAGGAGAAACGCCTGCAGATTCTGCGAAAGGGTGTTGGCCCAGGCTGAACCTCTGTGGGAGAGAAAGAAAGAGAAAGAAAGAAAGAAAGAAAAAGAGAGAGAAAGTAAATAAGTCAATCTTAATGTTTGGCCATCTTGTTTGATTGAACTCATGAGAGATGGGAACTTCATTCTTATGACAGGGGGTCTTCAACTTAGGACCACAATTGAGTCCAAAATTTCCGCTGCTAACAAGACAGATTCTAAGAGAATTTTGCCCCGTTTTATGACCTTGTTTGCCATGGTTATTAAATGAATTACTGTAGTTGTTAAATTAGCAACACGGTTGTTAAATGAATCTGACTTCCCCACTGACTTTCTGTTAGAAAGTCTGTTTATACATAGCAGATCAGATCAAACAAACGGCACCGTCACCATGTGCTTTACTGCTTAACTGTTTTAACTGTAACAGGAAACAGGAAACTCTGCTTAGGACAAAAGACCATAGTGTATATACCAAAGGGGCTTTTTCTGGAGGCATCTGGACTTCCTTGTTTTTCTTTGAAGACGTTTCACTTCTCCTCCAAGAAGCTTCTTCGGCTCTGACTGGATGGTGGGGAATGGAAGGATTTATACTCCTTGCAGAAAGCCGGTCATTTGCCTTCTTTTAGAGAGCTGTTGAGGCCGCCTGGAGGTTTACCTGTGTCCTCAGGGTCACCTGAGTGGTGCAAATGGGTGTGGAGCCTTCTTGGGCCTGCGGAAAGGACCATGTTGTAGACTGGAGATGGATGATGTCGTGTCCCTCCCCCTCTGTTGAGGGAGGGCTGTTCAGTTTTGACCTAGATGGCCTCTTTGACCCCTCTTTCAAACCAGCGGTCCTCTCTGTTCAAAATGTGGACTTTGCTGTCTTCGAAAGAGCAGCCTTCATCTTTTAAATGCAGATGGACTGCTGAATCTTGTCTTGATGGGTTTGTTCTCCCAAGTTGTGCCACGCGTTTGTGAAGTGGTTGTTTTGTTTCCCCAATGTGCAGATCTGCACATAGCTCACTGCATTGTACTGCATATACCACGTTGCTTAGGGTACATTGGGGAAACAAAACAACCACTTCATAAATCCTTCCATTCCCCACCATCCCAGTCGGAGCTGAAGAAGCTTCTTGGGAGGAGAAGCAAAAGTTCTTCAAAGAAACAACAAGAAAGTCCAGTGGCCTCGTGAAAAAGCACCTTTGGGATAAACCATGACCTGGGTGACTGAGAATCTCCATAGACATGAAAGAGCATTATGTTTTGAACTCGGGCCTTGTCTGTCACGCTTACACCACGCCCAGCTTGAAGACGTGCAAAAAGACGGCATTCATGATCACGTTCAACACGTTCACCACCACGCCGGTCACCACTTGAGGCAAGAGGACAGCCTGGAATGGAGAAAAAAAGGACAAATTGAACACAAGGCCGGTTTAAGCAATGCTGCAGGGCAGGGGCCCCTGTAGGCCTCTGACTTGAGACTGCTGACTTTGGGGAGAGAAACGGGGTGTCGTTTAATCAGGATTGTGGGGCCATTTCAATCAATCAGAACAGAGCTGGAAGGGACCTTGGAGGTCTTCTAGTCCAGCCCCTTGCTCAAGCAGGAATCCCTATACCAGGGGTAGGCAACCTTGGCTCTTTTATGACTGGTGGACTTCAACTCCCAGAATTCCTGAGCCAGCCATGCTGAGGAGAAATGGAGAGGTTTCCAAGCTGAGCCAGGCTGGCTCAGGAATTCTGGGAGTTGAAGTCCACGAGTCATAAAAGAGCCAAGGTTGCCTACCTCTGGCCTAGACCATTTGACAGAAGTGGCTGTCCAGTCTCTTCTTAAAAACCTCCAGTGATGGAGCACCCACAACTTCTGGAGGCAGGTTGTTCCACTGGTTAATTGTCCTCACGGTCAGAAAATTCCTCCTTAGTTCCAGGTTGCTTCTCTCCTTGATTAGTTTCCATCCATTTCCTTCCTTCCTTCCTTCCCTCCTTCCTTCCTTCCTTCCTTCCTTAATCATAGAATCCTAGGGATGGAAGGGACCTTGGAGGTCATCTAGTCCAACCCCCTGCTCAGGCAGGAAACCCTATACCATTTCAGATCAAATGGCTGCCCAGTCTCTTCTTAAAAACCTCCAGTGCTGGAGAATTCACAGCTTCTGGAGGCAGGTTAATTGTTCTCACTGTCAGAAAATTCCTCCTTATTTCCAGGTTGATTAGTTTCCATCTGCTGCTTCTTGTCCTGTCTTCAGGTGCCTTGGGGAATAGGTTGACCCCCCCCTCTTCTTCGTGGCGGCCCCTCAAATATTGGAACGCTGCTATCATGTCCCCTAGTCCTTCCTTTCTCTAGACTGGCCATACCCAAATCTTGCAACTGTTCTTCATATTTTTGTGTCTCCGGACTTTTAATCATCTTAGTTGCTCAATTGTTCTTCTCTGCACTTGGCAAGATGGACATTAAGTTTAATAATCAGTAAAAAATAATTCGATGAATAAAGTTTATTTAGAATTCTTTATTCTTGATTGGCCAAGTATGATTGGACACGTAAGGGATTTGTCTCCGGTGTGGAAGCTCTCAGTGTACATACAAACAACTAAGTAATAAACTAATCAAGGAGAGAAGCAACCTAGAACTAAGAAGAAATATTCTGATTATTACAACAATTAACCAGTGGAACAACCTGCCTCCAGAAGCGGTGAATGCTCCAACACTGGAAGTTTTTAAGAAGAGACTGGACAGCCATTTGTTTGAAATGGTATAGGGTTTCCTGCCTGAGCAGGGGGTTGGACTAGATGACCTCCAAGGTCCCTTCCAACTTTATTATTATTATTATTATAGGTATTTACCCACGTAGTAGGACTGTATTGCTATTATCCTTCTCGTCGTCTCATCTATCCTACTACCTTCTCCTATTGGGTATCTTATGATTTATCCCTTGTTGTTTGTATCTTATGATTAGTGATTGTAACTATGATCTATGATATATAACCTACCACTTTGTTCTTTGCATGTACACTGAGGGCTTCTGCACCGGAGACAAATTTATTGTGTGTCCAATCACGCTTGGCCAATAAAGAATCCTATTTTGTTCCATTTCACCATTGTCCTAATCCTCTGCTTTTGAGGTACGGTGGCCTCCCCCAGTAAATTCTGCTTTTAACCATAAAGCAAAATGCATACAATACCTGACTTTGCAAATAGCGTGTTTCCAGCTGGTAGATGAACGCAGCCTGTGAATGTATCCCAAACGTAATAAGTTAGCTTCTTCGATTGAAAATCAGTTTCACGATTATCTATTTTAATTTAATTTAATTTAAATTAAATTGTCTTCACCTATCAAGTCAGGTCTCAGCTAACAAGCCATAATGTGTCCTGAACAAACAGGCCATTATGCGCGCCTTCCAAAGGCAACAGTCCTGTTCACACAACCAACAGAGGAAACAGACTCCTCGGAACCTGTTTTAGCCCGGTCTGTATGCGTTATGCGAACGCAGCCAACGAAACACTTACCGGCAGGGCTGGAATGAAGATCATCACGTAAATGTGGGTTAATCTGTAAGACAAAATTGAACCACATTTTAATGGGATGGGAACGGCGAATGGGTGGCATACAGGAACCCTGGTGGCTCAGCGGTTAGGATGAGGCATTGCGGGGAAAACTCTGCCCACAGCCAGGAAGTTCGATCCTGACCGGCTCAAGGTGGACTCAGCCTTCTGTCCTTCCGAGGTTGGTAAAATGAGGACCCAGATTGTTGGGGGCAAATAGGCTGACTCTGTAAACCGCTTAGAGAGGGCAGTAAAAGCACCGTGAAGCGGTATATAAGTCTAAGTGGTATTGCTAGTGCTACCTACATACCTATTTATCTATCATTTATCTTTTATCATTTCATCTCTATCTCTCTTTATATAGACATATAGATATCTATATTCTCTCTCTGCCTACCTGCCTACCTGTCATGTCAATCTATCTATTATTCATTCTATCTGTCTATCTGTCTATCTATCTATCTATCTATCTCTATCTATCCATCCATCTATCCATCCATCCATCCATCCATCCATCCATCCATCCATCCATCCATCCTAAGTATATATCGTATCCTATCTATCTATCTATCTATCTATCTATCTATCTATCTATCTATCTATCTATCTATCTATCTATCTATCTATCTATCTATCTATCTATCTATCTATCCATTCATCCATCCATCCATCCATCCACACACTTATCTACCTACCTACCTACCTATCCATCCATCCAAACACCTACCTACCTACCTGCCTGCCTGCCTGCCTGCCTGCCTGCCTGCCTGCCTATCTATCTATCTATCTGTCTGTCTGTCCGTCCGTCCGTCCGTCCGTCCGTCCGTCCATCCTATCTATCCTATCTATCTATCTATCTATCCATCCATCCATCCATCCATCCATCCATCCATCCATCCATCCTATCTATCCTATCTATCCTATCATCTATCTATCTATCTATCTATCTATCTATCTATCTATCTATCTATCTATCTATCTATCTATCTATCTATCTATCTATCCATCCATCCATCCATCCATCCATCCATCCATCCTAACTATATATCATATCCTATCTATCCTATCCTATCCTATCTATCTATCTATCTATCTATCTATCTATCTATCTATCTATCTATCTATCTATCTATCTATCTATCTATCTATCTATCATCTATCTATCTATCTATCTATCTATCTATCTATCTATCCCAGAAGCACGAAGCTGAAGACACCAGCCTGAAGATGATGAATGTGACTTCGTCGAAACGTCGCCAAGACACTTCTAATTCTACGCGGGAGAAAACCCGAATAACTAAAGACCTACATACAAACACCCGCGAAAACCTCAGAAAACATATATATATATATATATATATATATGATAAAAAAGCAAATAAAAGGCGAGCACCAAGAGGAATAAAATTTAAAAGTTTAAAAATTTAATGAGCCGAGCTTTCGTCAGAACCATCTGACATCATCAGGGCGTTAAAACAGCAGTCTGGAAGAAACCCTTATAAAGCGTTGATCGCCTGCATCCGGCTTCTGCTACATGTTAATGGACCCAGCTGTTCCTGCCGTATTACGGGCAAGGCGCCTACTCCAGTGCAAGGGGTCCCTTTAAATGTTTTGCGCCTTCTATCGCCGGCTTTCTCTACCCCCGCCCTCCATTAACACGTAGCAGAAGCCGGATGCAGGCGATCAACGCTTTATAAGGGTTTCTTCCAGACTGCTGTTTTAACGCCCTGATGATGTCAGATGGTTCTGACGAAAGCTCGGCTCATTAAATTTTTAAACTTTTAAATTTTATTCCTCTTGGTGCTCGCCTTTTATTTGCTTTTTTATCATGACTACACCCAAGAGTCAGATTTTTAGTATAATTAATTCTCATATATATATCCCACCCAATCAGTTCAAACCCCACTGGCAGTTAAAAGGAAGAAACAGCTGCGATCACACATTACTCCTAGAAGCACGAAGCTGAAGACACCAGCCTGAAGATGACGAATGAGACTTCGTCGAAACGTCGCCAAGACACTTCCAATTTTACGCGGGAGAAAACCCGAATAACCAAAGACCTACATCTCTATCTATCTATCTATCTATCTATCTATCTATCTATCTATCTATCTATCTATCTATCTATCTATCTATCTATCTATCTATCTATATCTATCTATCTATCTATCTATCCATCCATCCATCCATCCATCCATCCATCCATCCATCCATCCATCCACTTACCTACCTACCTATCCATCCATCCACACACCTACCTACCTACCTACCTACCTGCCTGCCTGCCTGCCTGCCTCTCTCTCTCTCTCTCTCTCTCTCTCTCTCTCTCTCTCTCTCTCTCTCTCTCTCTCTCTTTCTCTCTCTTTCTCTCCCTCTTTCTCTCTCTCTCNTCCATCCATCCATCCATCCATCCATCCATCTATCTATCTATCTATCTATCTATCTATCTATCTATCTATCTATCTATCTATCTATCTGAGCATAAATAGGAGAAGCCTTCCTTTCTCAATCTCCAGGGTCCAGCCCTTTCCCTGGACGTTCCCATTAACACTACAGGCCTTCACTAAAGGAACAATTTACTGATCATTCAAAGTTACAACAGCACCAGAAAAAAGCGACTTATGACCGTTTTTCACACTGACGACCGTTGCAGCCTCCCCAGGGTCACCTGATCAAAATTGGTTCGTGTGGCAAGTGGCTCATATTTATGATGCTCGCTGTGTCCCCGGGGTCATGTGATCCCCTTTTGCGACCGTCTGACAAGCAAAGTCAACGGGGAAGCCAGGTTCACTTAACAACCGCGTCACTAACTTAACAACTGCAGTGATTCACTCAACAACTGTGGCCAGAAAAGTCAGAAGATGGGGGAAAACCCACTTAACAACCGTCTTGCTTAGCAATGGAAATTTTGGGCTCGAATGTGGTCGTAAGTTGAAGACCTGTATTCATAGATATACATGTGCATGTGTGAGAGGATGTAAAATATAAACACACACACACACAAACTCTTGTTTCAAGATTCACACAAATGCTGGAAGCCTTCTTTTCTCAATGCCCCCAACATCCAGGCCTGAAAGATAGACTACTCCTTTCCGTGGAGGTTCTCTTATAAGACTAAATTGTGTTGCTGTTGTTGGTGGGGTTTTTTTAAAAAGAAATGTAAACATCCGCTATTAAAACTCCTTTCCCCCCTAAACGATGTGAAGATTAAACTTTTTGACCCAAAAAATATATATATAAGAGATAGAGGGCATATAGGTTTTTTCCTCAAAATTCGAAACGATGAAGAAGAGGTAACGCCCCCTCCCCCCCCAAAAAAACAGGAACGAGAGACGAGGCGAAAAACAAGAGACGGAAGGAGACAAAAAAGAGGGTTGTGTGGTGGTTACACAAGAGCAAGGGGTGTTTTTGGAACACAACCCAGCTGAGAGAGATGCTTTTCGGCTTTTTTTTTTTTTTTTTAAGCAAACAGAAATAGGAGAATCTGTGAGGTAAAACGGTTCTTTTGTCCCTTTTTCTTTGCGGTGCTCCACCCAAAAGGATCAGATTAAAGAGTTGGATTAATTGGGGTCGATGGCTTAATTTAATTTGGATGGGTTTCTTGAGGCGTGTGATTTTTTTTGTGTGTGCATGTCGGTTGAAATTAGCCTGTCATAAACCAACATACGGCTCGTGCTCGACTTACGACCGCAATGGAGCTCAAAATTTATGTTGCTAAGAGAGACACCGGCTAAGTGAGTTTTGCTCCATTTTATCATTTAACAGTTGTTCAGTGAATCCCTGCAGTTGTTAAGTTGGGAACACAGTCGTTAAGTGAATCTGGCTTCCCCGTTGACTAAGCCACTTTTTTTCACTGCTGTCGTAAAATGGAACAGACCTTAAGAATAGAATGGAACGGAACGGAACAGAACGGAATGGAATGGAATACAATACAATACAATACAATACAATACAATACAATACAATACAACACAATACAATACAATACAATCAACAGGAATAGAATAGAGTAGAGTAGAGTAGAGTAGAGTAGAGTAGAGTAGAATAGAATAACAATAGAATAGAATAGAATAGAATAGAATAACAATAGAACAGAATAGAATAACAATAGAATAGAATAATAATAGAATATAATAACAATAGAACAGAACAGAATAGGAGGAGAGGAGAGGAGAGAAGAGAAGAGAAGAGAAAGGAGAGAGGGGAGAGGAGAGGAGAGGAGAGGAAAGAGGAGGAGAAGAGGAGAGGAGAGGAGAGAAGAGAAAGGAGAGAGGGGAGAGAAGGGGAGAGGAGAGAAGAGGAGAGAAAGGAGAGAGGAGAAGAGAGAGAGGAGAAGGGGAGGGGAGAGGAGAGGAGAGGAGAGAAGAGGAGAGGAGAGGAGAGGAGAGAAAGGAGAGAGGCG